TTGTTAGTGTATGCCCTAGGAACCAATAGTGTCGTCGGTTCCAAGGCATTATGTTTTGTATATATATGTTAATGCATATATTTTGTATATACATTTTTATCTTATCAATAGAAGAAAGTGTTCTTATTTCACACGTGGTTTATTGCTTCATTTATATATATGTATTACATGTGAAATATCCGGATGATATAAATCTTTAGAAGATCAAAATCATCAAAGTATTCCCTACATAGGTAATATTAATTGAGTAATAATATTACATAGTAGGTATGTTGAATGCCTCTTTAGAATATCATGTGATGGTATTAGTGTGGGTGATTATAAAAGTTATATCACCAGGGCATTAGCATGGATAAGCGGTTAGTGAACTGTTTATCGAATCTGACCATTTATGATGAATCACACGGATATTTAAAATGTAGTCAATGATTCATCATAAGATCATACTAGTATATTATTAATCCTTAGACCTGAGATATCACGGTTGGATTCTGCATAGACGCATATAGTGAAAGATGGATGCATGGAGAATCAAGCATATCATACTATAACAAGTATAGTCATAGTTTAAAAAAAATTTCAATCAAATTGAAATAAGTAAGGTAGAACATGTTACCTTAAGTCCTTAGCAACCTTAGAGACTCTTAATTTCAAGAGAAATTAAGCAAAAGAGTATCCACACCAAGGGAAGAAGAGATTTGACCAAGAGGGAGATTTAGGGTTCTTAGAGATTTTTTTCTACACAAAAATTGATATATCATTTTCTTTATATAGGAATCCTTGTAAACAATTCAATAATTGTTTTGGACTTCCTTAAACAATTCCATAATTGTTATGAAGTTGTTAAACTTCTTTAAATTATAACATTGGATTAACATTTAATCACAATTAACAATTTAACTCTTAAATTGTTTACATAACAATTTAACCCTTAAATTGTTTACAATTACAACCCCTTGTAAAATCCAATTTAATATAAAGAAAATGATTAATATAAATAACTTTATTACCCTTGGTAGGTGCTAGCCAACCTTGGATAATCAACTCTCTTTGGCTATTTCTCCATTCTCCTTAGTTTTTATGTGTGACCTCTTAGGTTCACTGTGGCCTAGCCGTGGGCCCAATATCACAGACTATTTCGATATGTTTTGTCATAACTCTTTATGAACAAAACTCCCACTGATTATGGTAGGCATCTAGCAATGCTCCATAACCCCTAAGTCACAATGAAGATATACTCCAACGAACCTTTTACAATCATACATGTTGTATAATCAAATCCTTCCGTTGTCTAATCCCAATTAAGAATGGATTCATGGTATGTCAAAATCCTTATCTTAATTTTAATTCAATACATATGGAACGTGTCACCATGAAACAACCTTTCATGTAACATTTTATATACCCCGGCCGGAGATTTCCCTTTTCCAATGTATCTTGACATTTGTCTAGGAACTTGATATCAATCTATACCAAGTCAACGGATCCCATCTTGACTATCACTTGTCCTCACACATAAACAACACATGGCCAAATCGGCTTATTAACACATGACATGATTAGCCTCATGTTTATACACCATATGAACCATATGCGTTTATGCAGAATCCAACCGTGATATCTCAGGTCTAAGGATTAATAATACACTAGTACGATCTTATGATAAATCATTGACTACATTTTAAATGTCCATGTGATTCATCATAAATGGCCATATTCGATAAACAGTTCACTAACCGCGTATCCATGCTAATGCCCTAGTGATATAACTTTTATAATCACCCACACTAATATCATCACATGATATTCTACGGAGGCATTCAACATGCCTACTATATAATATTACTACCAAATTAATATTACCTACGTAGGGAATACTTTGATGATTTTGATCTTCTAAAGATTTGTATTATCCGGATATTTCACATGTAATACATATATATAAATGAAGCAATAAACCACATGTGAAATAAGAACACTTTCTTCTATTGATAAGATAAAATGTATATACAAAATATATACATTAACATATATATACAAAACATAATGCCTTAGAACTGACGACACGATTGGTTCCTAGGGCATACACTAACATATAGTTCATATGGTATATAAACACAAGGCTAATCATGTCATGTGTTAATAAGCTGATTTGGCCATGTGTTGTTTATGTGTGAGGATAAGTGCTAGTCAAGATGGGATCCATTGACTTTGTTTAGATTGATATCAAGTTCTTAGACAAATGTCAAGATACGTTGGAAAAGGGAAATCTCCAGCCGGAGTATATAAAATGTTACCTAAAAGGTTGTTTCATGGTGACACATTCCATATGTATTTGATTGTCAATTTGATATAAAATTAAGATTAGGATTTTGACATACCATGCACCAATTCTTAATTGGGATTAGACAACGAAATGATTTGATTATACAACGCGTATAATTATAAAAAGGTTCGTTTGAGTATATCTTCATTGTGACTTAGGGGTTATGAAGCATTGCTATATGCCTACCATAATCGGTGTGAGCTTTGTTTATAAAGAGTTATGACAAAACATATCGAAATAGACTATGATATTGGACCCATGGCTAGGCTACAGTGAATCTAAAAGGTCACACATAAAAACTAAGGATAATGGAGAAATAGCCAAAAAGAGTTGATTATCCAAGGTTGGCTGGCACCTACCAAGGATAATAAAGTTATTTATATTAATATCATTGAATTAGATTCAATGGAGGGTTATATTAGTTATTATGAATAATTTAAGAGTTAAATTGCTAATTAGAATTAAATGGAATTCCAATTTATAATTAATCATTTTCTTTATATTAAATTGAATTTAACAATGGGTTGTAATTGTAAACATATGAACAATTTAAGGGTTAAATTGTTATGTAAACAATTTAAGAGTTAAAATGTTAATTGTGATTAAATGTTAATTAAATGTTATTATTTAAAGAAGTTTAATAACCTCATAATAATTATGGAATTATTTACAACTCCAAAACAATTATGGAATTGTTTAAGGAAGTCCAAAACAATTATTGAATTGTTTACAGAGCTACATATATAAAGAAAATGATATATCAATTTTAAGATAGAGATCAAAATTTCTAAGAACCCTAAATGTCTCTCTTGGCCTAATTCTTCTTTTACCTTAGTGTGGATACTCTTTTGTTTAATTTCTCTTGAAATTAAAAGTCTCTAAGGTGCTAAGGACTTAAGGTAATAAGTTATACCTTACTTGTTTTCAATTTGATTGAATTTTTTTTTTGCAAAATATGAATATACATGTTATAGTATCACATGTATCATTCTCCATGCATTTCATCTTTTAGTGACCATGTTGTTACTATGACTTTCTGTTTGTTTTCCCATAGACGGCTCTAGCTATTAATGCCAAATTTCTCACCAAATTAGGGTTTACAGTCTTGCCCTTCGACACACAATGATCTTCTTATTCTACTCTCAGATTGGCGTCTCTGAAGTCTTTATCAACTGTAGCACTACTCCCTGCAAGGAATAGCAAAGCTCCTGCGAGATCACAAGGTTAGAACTAGATTGACAGGCTGATACAGGTTGCGATCAGCTTTTGCTTAGAATGGTTTTTCGTATGAATTATTATACATTATTCCATGCCATTAGCCTCTTTTATATAGTGAAGTAGAGAGGGTTTGAGAAGGTTACTTCCTTGGTGGAGTAGGATTTCAGGTAGAAGAGGGAATGTAAGTGTTTTAGGAGAATATGGGATCTCTTCCATCTTTTGGATTAGATCCTAGTCATATTCACTTCCTAATTTTACTTGACTTCCTTATTCCCTTAGATTCCTCGTTCAATGTTGATTATACTTTCTATTTTAGAGAAGGGAGAACGACATTTTTCCGCCCAAGGTTTGGCGAAACGACACTTTCCCACCATTTCGTCAGGTTCGGTTAGTATTTTCTGTTAATATTTGATTGAAAAGACGAAAATACTCTTAAATAGTTTATTTCTTAATTAGTCGATTATTTATTAGTTCAAGTGTAAAGATATATTTTTTCCTTTGTTTATTTAATTAATTAAGAATATTGATTTTTTATATTAATTAGTAAAAATAAAAAACATTATATTATGAAAAACATCATAAATTTAGTAGTTTATTGAATAATAGTGATGAGATATTGATGACATTATAAATAAATAAATAAATATTAAAATCATTTAACTTTAAACAATTTTATAGCATTACTCCTAATTTTTTAAGTGGAGTTAATTATTTTTTCTTTTTTGACTTTTTGGCTAATTAAAAAATAATAAAAAGATTTATGAAATCAAATATTTAAGGGTATTTTTGTCTTTTGAGTAAAATATTAACGGAAAATATAACAGAACATAACGAAATATGGGAAAGTGTCATTTTGAAACTTGGAGGGTGGACAAGTGTCGTTTCTCCAAACCTTGGGTGGGAAAATGTTGCTCTCCCTTTAGAGAATATCTATTGGATAATTTACTTAGGATGCAAGTTACAACTGGTCGAGTTTTTAAACAATGCTTAAATGAAACTTGTTGGAGCCTCTAATGAAGGTAGACATAACATGTGTCAAAGCCTTTGGTTAGGATAAATTTGTAATATGTCATATATATTTATTTTAGACCCTTAAAAAATGGTAGACTTATGATAGAAAATGCTAGAACCTTTTCACTAATTAAGCAATGACTTAATAAGATTTCCTGTTTCATAAAAACCGTAGTCTTATATTCGTTGAGAATTAGGTGTCATAATCATCATACTAGCAACCGATTATCTTTATTCTTTTTTACGCTAAGAAGTCTATCGATCGGCCCAAAAACTACTTCAATATTTCTTCATGTCCTGCGCCACCACATAAAATAATGCAAATATAGATAAAAAGATTGTATTGTCTTTACAATATTTTGAGTTTCAAGTTTGAATTTAAGAAAATCTTTTCTTGAAAGCGATTTACAAGAAAAATAACAAAACAAAAAAAACAGAAGCACCAGCACTCAGTTCCATAAGGTAAAACCAATATGCAAAGTATTCCCTTTCCCAGCACTTTAAAATGGGAAAGGATTACCTAAATACATTATTTAGGTTCATCATCAAACTAAACTAAACTTTACATGAACAACAATGAACCATAATATTGTAGCAATGTACTTAACAGAACTCACACATACAATAATTCCAATCCCAGAAACAGAAACTACCAATATATGTACCAGAAACCTAGTTAAGTACAAAATTACAGCTAATGCAACAGTAACCAGAGATCACCAGCACAAAAAAGTAGTGCACTGGACGGTCACACCACGAATATTTTGTTGTCCCACATTACATGACGGAGGCAGTAAGCATATCCTAATTTACAGATGAGCAACACATAAATTGTACCCAGTATGGCCTCCCCTTCGCTTTCCTCTTCTCTCTCTTAATATCTGCAGGATACCGTGCAGGAGAATTATAGTCCTTCCCAATCTCCCTCTTTGCAGGCTCAGTAGCGGGTACTCCAGAACTCAGAATTGAGTTCACTGTTGGGGCTAAAGAACCATTATCTTTTGTCGTCGTTTCATCTTTTTGAACAACAGGAGTTTTATTTTCCCTCAGGTTTGGAGACTTCGGTTTGGTTTTAAGATTGGCCTCACTCAAAAGGTTCTTCAAAGGAGTGTGTTGCTTTCCAGCACTCCAGTTTGTGACCTTGGCAATAATTTCTTCATTCTTCTTTCTCCCTTGTGATTCATTCACAACATTTGTAAGAGATGGAAACCAACCAGCTTCTGACGATGGAACTTTTTGCTGCTGTGGATTCTGTGTTACCTGGATAGCAGAAGCAGAACCTTTATGGTGAACCCCACCCCCAGGTTCAACCAATGTCATGAAAGAGGGCGCCTCAAAAACATCTGATTTTTCGGAAAGCTGTCTCTCGGTTACGCCTTTTGGTTTCTTCGAGTTGGTTTCCTCTGCTTCTTTTGATGCTGGATTATCAGTTGATGGTAATGTTTCAGAATCAACAACCACCGGTGTATCTGATTGTGTTGAAAGCACTGTTCCAAGCATCAAAATAAGCAAATATACTGAATTTCAGAAAGCAATGTGGTTCTTTTGAGATAAATTTCAATGCATTAAAGTTTTGCACATAGATAACTAGTAGAACTGCAGAGACGGGATTGATTTCTTGAGCATGCTAACTAGAGATTCCCAAAAAATTAAAAAATAAACAAATTATAACCCAAGGAGCTCATCAGTCATAAGTGTAAAAATTGAGTCATTAACACACATTAAGAAGGTTAACACAGTATGACCATCTGAATTAAGACACTTGAAAGCAATAAACGTGTATATATATATAAACATATCATGTCCGTATTATAAATTTTATCATGCATTGACCTCGTAAAATTTGAGGATCTAGAATCATCATATCTAGCAAGTATAACAATATCTTTTAAGTTTTTTAATTCATTAAGAAAATCAAGGTCATTCATGTTTAAATCCAGTTTATCTTCTATAAGCCACAACAGAGAAAGTAGGATGCTTTCAAGGTCAATAAAACCAGATTAAAATCCAGTTAGCTGGAAAATTATCAATATACAAGAAAATTTTCCAATATCAAAATTTTCATTGATAGAGATGTAAGGGTACCTGAAATTGAACCCCAGTTACCTTCCAAGCTATCAGTTTGGCTCAAAGAATCAACTGAAACATCAATGATAGATCCACCAAGCTGATGTTTTACAGAATTATTATCATCAGTTTCTACTTGCAAAGACTGATTAATACCAGAATCTTCCACACCTAACTTTTTGGCATGGTTATAATCAACAGCAACAGAACTTTGTATGGAAGCTTCAGTATCTGAAGGAGAAACAAGAGAATCTTTCATTGCATGGTCTTCAGAATTTCTGTCTAATATCTCAACATCTCTTCCATGTTCAGCAACACACTCTCCCTGTGTTTTGTCGTTGCCATCAATTTCAAGTTGTTTTATGACATCTGGAGTTGTAGAAACTCCATCCAAGTTTGTGAACTTGGTTTCTGGTAACTTTGTCTCAGACACATTTACCACATCGCCAGCATCAACTACGGATTCACAAAGAATGCTACCAGATTCAAAAGTAGTTTCTGTCTGCAAAAAGAGTTTTCCCTCTGCAGATTGCCCCCTGCTAGCAACGCCTGCTACATCACACTTTTCAACTTTAGCCTTCTCGTTATCACTAGCTTCATCAATTTCATGTAAATAAGTTGCTGGGTTGACTAGGAAATCAGGGAGATTAGTAGCTGCTTCCAAAGTTGTATCTCTAATTTCCTCATAACTTTCTACTCTTGGTCTTTCATTCTCATCCTTTCCAGCTACATCACCCATTTGAGCAATAGCCTTCTCATGATGACCAGAATCATTCATGCTCACGGCATTTGCATCCAAAGAGGCAATCATAGGATTCACTTGATTCAAGATCTGCTGATGATAATCACTTTTCCCTTCACCAGACAGGTTTTTGACCATTGGCATTTTACCTTCAAGCAGAAGGTTATCTTCCAAAACATTCATCTCTGAAGCAGATGCCTTGGTGACTTCACTCGACTGTACTGAATGGAAGCAAGTACAATTATCCACTGAAAGAGGATATTCAACATCATCTTCCTTGTCTTTAGTTATTTCACTTGAAACTGAATCTGATGTTACAGACTGGAGAAATTTGAGTCCCTTATAATCTTTAAAATCTTGGAGCATGACCTCAGAATGGTCTACCACAGGAATATCAGATGGTACAGAAAGCTCGTGCACATTTTCTTTCCCTTCTCCCATTCCAATCAAACCATCACATGAATTGACTGAACCAGCCACGTCCAGTCCTTGATGAGCATCAACCTCAACTTGAGCAGCATCAATAGAACCCATATGTTCAAAGGATTCAACTTCAGTGGTTGGATCACTAAAGGACATATTAGAAGCCATCTCAGCAACATGCTTTTCCTTCAAAATAACATTTCCATCATATGGCATTGGATCCAATGTAATCTCCTTCTCTTGAGTGTTCAACCCTAACCCAAATGTTTGCCCAGTACATTCACCAGGTGAGAGGAGAACCGCATTCCTATCTGAATTGATTTCACCATTTCCAATCACATTAGCCTCTAGCTCAGGATATGCCATCAAGCCTTTAGTCACATCATCACCAGCATTAATTATCTTAATCTCTTGTGAAGCATCCGTTGGTAATTCGGGTTTAATGGGGACCAGGTCATGTGACAACTGATTTTTATCATCAGTAGCAATAACAACTGGGTCTTCATTAGAGCTAGACACATGAACTTGGGGCTTGAGATTATTGTGTGAAGGATCAGTTGTATTTTCATGAATTTCAGGGTTTTGTGTTTGGATGCCATCAGCTGAGTTACCTGGTGGTTCAATGATATCTGCAAGGTACATAAAATAAATACAGATCATATTAAAAGTGAGACTGAGCTTGTTAAAATGAAATCACCATATACAACTATAGATTTGATAAGAGTAATCAGCTCAGAAAGTAAAATGTTATGTACTCAACATAGAAATTATTAGTTTACTCTTAAATAATTAATTTGAGAAATTTAATGATAGAAAATTTATTATCACATTAACAATCAGCTGATGAGAAATGCCAACATGAACCGAACAGTGCTTAAGTGTAAAACATTAGGAAACTACTTTTAAAGGTAATTTATTTTATTCATATTTTCCCATTTTAAGGTGTTTATCTCTTACCTTGTTTTGATTAGAATTCCTATGTGATTTGATGCTAGAAGTATAACCAGTTAAGACAGCTTTTTTTTATAAGAAGTAGGAGTTTATAACACAGTTAGGGTCCTTTTTTGTATAAGAAGTAGGGGTTTATAATATTCCACATATGCGCATAGATGCTGGTAGCATATTATGTAAATTATTACAGGAAAACGAGTTTAAAAAATAAATAAAAACTTAAACAGTAATTCCTAGGTTAAGGGGCTAACTATTCTCAAACCAGTTAATTGGAGGACCAATCTATTAAGTTTCTCCATTTTATTTTTTCAATATTAATTGCCATGAATCAAAGCACTCAACAAAAATCCTAGGCCTATGTAACTTTAGGAAGAGAAAAGGAAAAGATAAATTCATATGTTCAAGATATAAGAAAAAGATAAGTTCATGTGTGCAATATTGAGTAATGATACTCGTCCCAAAAAAACAATATCCCAAATTTCACATCTCAAATGATGTGTCACCATATGAGCAATGACATATCATTCAATCCATAATCAATTTACTTACATGTCATTGACACATGTGATGACACACCAATTGGGATATAAATTTGGGATAAGTTTTGGGAAGAGTAGTATTATTGGTGCAATATTATTGTAACTCTTATAGAAATTAAAGATAAACAAGAGATAAGACAGACTATAGATTTACACCATATTTTTTATGTACCAAATGAATAGCAACAAATACAAGTGCTTCACTAAAATGCAATATCAATGATAGGAAATAAGTCAATTTGAATGCTTGTCAGAAGATGAGAAATCAACACGAGAAATTTTTTAATACAATTAGTTTACACACCAGCTATTATTTGCTACTTATAGTTGAGGTGGCATCCAAAAATGTGGTTAAACACTCTGTTCCACAAAATAATATTTTTAAGTGGAGACATTGGAACTCATGCACAGGAAAATGCAAGACTTTGCATCTCATGTGTGTTAGTTGATGAGATTTGTTTGATAAATAATATCTACGAAGAACAAATGTTGAGGGTGATTTTCACTTGCCTATACATTGGTTTCTCAAGAAAAGATGGTGTTAATGACTACTTCAACTAAATCACCCACATGCTTTTTGAATTCATCTCATCAAGAGATTTACAAAGCAAGATTCTCATCCATTATAATGCAACCATATAATGCCTTTCAGGTTTGCAATTACAATGAAATTGATAAATCCTATTTATTACACACAAGTAACTGAAGCAAAACAAAAGCATGCATCAGGACGCTATTTAGTGAGATGGGGCCTAATTACTTTCAAAAAAAGCAGCGGTACTGATGAAATATATTAAATAAAAAAAGAAGTTAATAGATAAAAGACACTATCTAAAATGAACTCGTTAGCCATCTGCACACTTAATTCATTATCGTAGGCAATGTAGGGTCACCCACATCCAGCTAATCACTGGTGCATAATTCTAGCTCATTATAAATTACAATCAATCTCCTTACACCGAAAAAAAAAAAAATCATGTTAACTCAATGTTTAAGCAAATGAAGAGCACTTACAGAAAATATTGATTTTGAGAGATGTAAAGTGCAAGTAAATATCAATTTCAGGGTTCCATTAAAAAGCTTACCAACAAATGCACTACCCTTAAAAGAATAGAAGACAGAAAGATCTTTCTCCTTCTCAGGCCTCTTTTCAACCTCCAAATTACGTTGAAGCCCCAGACTTAAGCCACTATCAGTAAATTCTGTCACAGCATCCGAAAACACATCTTCTTCCGATCTATTCGACCTTTCACTGATTCCACTATTGTGCTTCTCAATATTACTTTTCTCCACAAGTTTTGGACCTTTCAAAGCCAATTCACCAACACAAACACATCAAAATTCAATTCTAAAACAATTCTAAATTTAATGTTGTGCCTCTCATGATTACTTTTCTCCACAAGTTTTGGACCTTTCAGAGCCAAATTCAGCAACAGAAAACAAATCAAAAATTCAGTTCAAGCAATTATTAATTTAATTTAAGCGAAGAAAGAGTGAGCTTACTGAGGGTAGTTCGATCTTCATCAGAGTGGTGGTCTTCATCGGAAAGATTGAGATCTTGTGATTCATTAAGCTTGTAACCTTCAACAGTTCCACAAACCTTCTTGTGCGCACGCCTGTGTTTCGCACTTGGGTGTGGATTTGGAAAGGGCCATCCACATTTGTGACACACGTGAACTCCATGATTCTCATGCCCTGCAAAACAAATTCAGTATAAATAAAAAAAATGCAAAAAGATCACATAAAAAACCCTGTAAAATTGGGAGAAGCCATTAAAAAAAAAAAAAAAAAGAAAAAGAAAAAAAAGCTGAACCTGATGTATGCATCTTGTTGTTGAGAAGTTGAGTGAAACGCAAAGCAAAGGTTTAGTTGAGAGTAGAAGACAAAACAAGGCCCAAGGGTTTTAATTAAAAGAGGAGAGAGACAACGTCGCGACTTTTCTGTTTACTATTCCTACATACGCGTGGGTGTGGGTCAAGATCAATTGAAAAGGGNTGAAATGTCCAGATGATACAAATCTTTAGAATATCAAAATCATCAAAGTATTCCCTGCATAGGTAATATTAATTGAACAATAATATTACATAGTAGGTATGTTGAATGTCTCTTTAGAATATCATCTGATGGTATTAGTGTGAGTGATTATAAAAGTTATATCACTATGGCATTAGCATGGATAAGCGGCTAGCGAACTGTTTATCGAATCTGGCCATTTATGATGAATCACTTGGATATTTAAAATATAGTCAATGATTCATCATAAGATTATACTAGTGTATTATTAATCCTTAGACCTGGGATATCACGCTTAGATTCTGCATAGACACATATAGTTCATATGGTATATAAACACAAGGCTAATCATGTCGTATTAATAAGCCGATTTGGTCATGTGTTGTTTATATGTGAGGACAAGTGCTAGTCAAGATGGGATCCATTGACTTGGTTTAGAATGATATCAAGTTCCTAGACAAATGTCAAGATAGGTTGGAAAAGGGAAATCTTCGGCCGAAGTATATAAAATGTTACCTGAAAGGTTGTTTCATGGTGACACATTCCATATGTATTTGATTGTCAATTTGATACAAAATTAAGATTAGGATTTTGACATACCAGGCATCAATTCTTAATTGGGATTAGACAACGAAATGATTTGATTATACAACGCGTACAATTATAAAAAGGTTTGTTAGAGTATATCTTCATTGTGACTTAGGGGTTATGAAGCATTGCTATATGCCTACCATAATTAGTGGGAGCTTTGTTCATAAAGAGTTGTGACAAAACATATCGGAATAGACTATGATATTGGACTCATGGCTAGGTCACAGTGAATCTAAGAGGTCACACATAAAAACTAAGGATAATGGAGAAATAGCCAAAAAGAGTTGATTATCCAAGGTTGGCTAGCATCTACCAAGGGTAATAAAGTTATTTATATTAATATCATTGAATTAGATTCAATGGAGGGTTATATTAGTTATTATGAATAATTTAAGAGTTAAATTGCTAATTAGAATTAAATGGAATTCCAATTTATAATTAATCATTTTCTTTATATTAAATTGAATTTAACAATGGGTTGTAATTGTAAACATATGAACAATTTAAGGGTTAAATTGTTATGTAAACAATTTAAGAGTTAAANTCCTCAAAACCAGCACAAATGGCCCTCAGGACAACACCTTTCTCCGACTTTACTGCAAGAAGTAGCACATACTTCAGTAAAGGGAAAAACTTCACATTTTTATCTACAAAGCATAAAATCACGTATAGACCTCGATATTGTGATGGTTACATCACCTCTTGATCCTTTTACCAACCTACAACCTAAAGCATTGCATAATGTAACTTTATGTGCCTAAACATACTGAAACATATCAAGATGTACTAAAATTTAATAACAGTACAAAATATTACATGGGCATCTGCTCTTCGCGCAATCGCCCCTCTCAGGCCGGATTTCGGTCGATCCCGACCTTTAGAATCCAACTTGCCGCCACTCCAAGCTTCACCGGCCTCCCCTCTACAAAACCCCCAACATCCTCGGCTGAGATTGTTCTCCGATCACTGCAGCATCACCTAGGGTTTTTGCGCGATAATTGCGATTGGGATTTTGATTGGAGTAATTTTGGAATTGCTTAGACGGAATTGGGTGGTGCCATGCAATTGTCTTTAAAAATTAGTTGCTGATACCTGGGCATCGCGCGAATGACTACTGCAACTGGTGGTGGAAGACGATAGCCCGCAGTGCTGGTGGTAGGGTGGTGGTGGTGGGAGAGCAATTTCAATTTTGGGAGAGATTTGAGTTAGGGGAATGAATGAAAATTGATTTAGGAGAAAATTTGTGAAAAATGAATTTTGGGAGGCAATTTTGAATTTGGGCGTCTTCCAATCGTGCAAATCACTTTCAATTGATTTTTTTTTTTTTTAGGTGTTGTGATGTGGTGATAAGCTGACGTGGCAGATGAGATGGCATATGCCATCTCATCTGCCACGTCAGTCAGGATGTATCAATCAGGACAATAGTCAGTAAATGTAGCATTACTGATTGAAATATATGTACGGGACTTTGGTTTAAAAAATGTGGGCTTATCTAGTACCCCATGTGAAGTTAAAAGAGTTAGCCTGTTTCTTTCATACCTTCCCTTCTCTTACTTGAATAGCCCCCATCTCATCTGCCATGTCAGTCAGGATGTATCAGTCGGGACAATAGTCAGTAAATGTAGCATTACTGATTGAAAAATATGTACGGGACTTCAGTTTAAAAAACGTGGGCTTATCCAATACCCCATGTGAAGTTAAAAGAGTTAGCCTGTTTCTTTCATACCCTTCCTTCTCTTACTTGAACAGCCCACTCCTTTTCCTTTTTTACAAGTTTAAGATTTAAAAAAAAAAAAAAAAAAACCGATTTAAAGAAAAATATTATGCTTTAATGATAAAAAATAAAATAATGTAATTCATAAAAGTATCTTTAAACATCGATCTATTAAATGATAGAAAAACAATTATTATTCACAATAACGAAACTATCCAATATTAATTACATTAGTGTAAATTGCATTGTTTAGAATATGAAAATAAAAGATGAAGGGTTACTATGACATAGTTGGCTGATGAGAGAGGGGGATCATGGGAGGGATGGGATTGCAGCTTAATAAAAGAAGAAATGCAAAGATCAAAGTTGTATTTGAAGTACGCGCAAGTTGGTCTAAATACCTCTAATCATGAAACCCGGTTATGAAAAAAAAAGTTGCAATGAAAGAAAAAATAAGGAAATTGAGGATGAAGAATTTGGTGGTGAATATAGTTTACATATTTATTAAGCACTTATTATCCTCATTTATCCTTACAAGTGATGAACTTTGAACTAGTAAGTAGGACTCAAATAGGACCACTCTAATCTCACCTATTTTCCTCCGCACACACATTTAATCTTTAAAAATTAGTAATATTAAAACTATAAATATCTTATATTGTTACGTGATGATCATTTATTTTATTTGTCTAGCTTATTTTTTTTTTAATATTTTACTATTTATTCATATGTATATTGTATCAATTTATTTATTTGTGTAGTAGTATTCCCTACCATATCTATTATTCTAGAATATTATATATTAGTGAAGAATACAAAATTAAAAAAAATATATATATTTAATGTTGTTTAGATCCTAGTTAGTTAATTCGCGTATAATACGTGCGTATCCGAATTTTATAAAATATGCCGTATAATTCGCGTATAATAAGGTATATCGTATAATTCGCGAATTATTCGCGAATTTTTGAAAAAAAAAAAAACATAACCTCACACCCCCAAAACGACGTCGTTTTGGTGGGTTTATACAAAAAATTATAACAGAAACAGATCTGGTTCACTTCGCTATGTACAAACAAACAAACACAAAGCACAACTCTTTATATCTCTCCTCAAAATTCATCATCTCTCTGCAACTGTAATGGCTTTCTCAAGAACACCTCTCATCTCTTTCCTTCTAATCTCACTCCTCTTTGCCTCCTCAATGGCTCAGTCTCCAGCTCCTACTCCGGCTCCGACATCTTTGCCTCCTTTCGCTTCCAAAACTCGACCAGTGGCTGCGCCGTCTCCTTCGAAGATTACACCAGCGGTTGCTCCTTCTCCTATCGTCGTCACCTCACCGCCGTCCCCTCTTCCGTTGATTTCTTCTCTGGCTCCAGCGACTTCTCCCTCGTCGATCGCCTTCCCACCGTCTCAAGCTCCTGCTCCAGCAGAGAACGTTGCCGTTTTTAACAGATTTGCTGGTACTGGATCTTTGGCGGTTGGGTTGTTCGCTGCCGTTTTGATTATGTAGAGTGATGTGAAATGAGTGCAGTGTGAAGTTAGGATCTCTTTATTTATTCGTTTATTTATATTATCTGTACCATTGTATTTCATATTATTTCATTATTCATTTAATAATATATTACCGTTCTTTTAGTAATTGATATTTTAAAGGAAGAATTCATGTTGTTATAAATTATAATATTATTTGATTGTGTTAAAGGGGTGATGAACTATTTTTAGGACAAAGTTTAGTCTATTTAGTATTTCAATTTGGTGGGAATATTCAATTAATATTTGATTACAAATATCCGTTTAATTAAAAAATAAGAACTTGAAAAAACAAAAAATTAAAATTGATACCAAGTAAATAGAGTCTTCTCCATCATTCCACTCGTCCAGCCAAGTGAGACAAGCAAGTATGGGAGAATTTGGGAATTGTTTGAGTCTGGAGACTATAATTTGAATATCAGTTATATATTGTGTATTTGTGTTATTGGTTAATTAAATATTTTGCATTTGACCAGGTATTCGATGATGTTCTCTACTTTTCTTTTATGTTCTTGTAAATACAGTCAAATTGAATACTTTTGTATTTGAAATGTTATGTTGATTTTAACCAGGTAGTCCATAAAAGTGTTAAAACTAAGATTGATATTGCCGTATTTTTCAAAACGTATTATTGACAATGCACCGTATTAAACCCGTATATATCCGTACCGTATTTTTCCCGTATCCGAATTTTATGGCCGAATTTTTATAAACGTATTTTTCACTATTTACTGTATTATACCCGTATAATTTCCGTACCCTTTTTTTGCCGTACCCGTATTAACTAACTAGGGTTTAGATACCAAATTTGGCTAAGGTTAAAATAGGAAATAATCCTAGATATCAAGGAGGCTAAACGACGTGGAATGATTATATGTTATTCACTCTTGGAAAAGAACATTCCATTTGAAGCTTGACCACAACCAAATTAGCCACCCACCAACTTAGTTGTAGGTTTACTTTGTATTGTAGGGAGTAGATACGTTGTAGATGGATTAAATAATGTTAGGCATCAACATATTGTATGATTAAAGGCGTAAACCAAATCAAATTAAAATATCTTCGAACAATTTTAGGACATTT